CATCCAGAGGTAATCGGCAAAAGTTTGAAGAGTAGATCTACGTTAATTCTGCCACGAACAGTAAGATGTGAATACTGTGTATTAGAGCAGTTCCTAAGGAACACAAGGCTTAAGTTGCATCCCAGCTGAACAGAAGTAATAAAAATAACAGCTAAGTAGGGTTAAGACACATTATAGCTTATTGATGTTGTGGTTCCTTTGGTGTGTTGCATCCTGTGTTATGCTTTCTATTACTCTTATGGCAAAGTGCTCCTGCAGATTACACTCTGCCATCTTTATGCTGTTCATGCAGGCCACAACTATAGTAAGAAAAAACAAACACAGAAACAAAACAAAGCTTTTCTCACAACAAAGAAACCTTGCACTCTGCCACAGCAGCCAACTTCTGTCTGAACATCTATTGTACAGAAAGTAAGCAAGCACTGAGGAATTAAGTACACATGCACACAAACACTGAGTTATGTATTACTGTCATTCACACTGGAGACAGTAAGTTGGGTAAGAAGGGTATGGCTGAAACTGGTCAAGTATCCATAGACTGTGAAGGTCTAGGAGGCCTAGGAAGAACTGATTTCAAGTTCTTTAAGTGAGTGCTGAGAACTCCCAAATCCAGCCATGGTTGGAGAAGTGTGGTATTTCAGATTCTAAAACCAGATGCCCAGAAGAGGGGATGACCAAAATAAATAAACATTTCTAAAAATTCATCCTTTAGAAAAATTACTGCAAAAAGCTGTTAGGAAAGCTGGAGCAAACACAAGGTATTTATTTCCTAAATGCAATTTCTGCAATTGGTCTTTTCAGTACTGCACACATCTATACACTTCAGTGAAGCTGTGTGCCTGCTTGTAATTCTCTGCTATGAATTAATGGTCATAAGCTCCAAGTGTGACTCTGATTACTACAGTGAGAATCTCAGAAACCAATTCTGCAATCAGTCTCCCAAAATACCCATGATCCCGTCTTAAAATCCTGCTTTGTATACAAATCCATTCAGACATTCTTCAGACTACTTTACCAGCCACACTGTGAAATCACAAGAGATGTCCTGTCCATCACTCTGCACAGCAGCGCACCGTGCTCTGCCATCGCTTTGTGCAGCTCTAGTGACTGTGTAGTCACACTTCAGTAGGAGACAACACGGTGCTTAGGAAACATGAAGCACAGTAGAGTGAAGCTCATAATTCAGTTCTTCAGTTATGTCTGTCTTTCAGTGCTTACAGGACAAAAAGTTTGGTGTTGTCAGTAAACTAAATTATTTCCTTCTGCTACACAACAGAAGATCTATACATCCATAGACTATGAAAATTCTGTGTAAGATAAGTAAAATCTGGCTTTGTCAAGAGCTGCAGCAAAACCATCAAAGACTTCAGCTTGCTCAGGGTTTCACTCATGCCCATTAGAAGTCTGAGTCTTTGAAAAGATGCAAGAAGCTCTTTCAGTCTTATTCTCTAGTAATGCATTTAAATGATTTGTTGGTGTTGTTTTTTTTTTTATGCTTTGACAATGTGTATAACGTTTACTTGTGACAAATTTCAAAGACTTACCTAGATTGATGAAAGTGTGATATTGATAAGTAGGAAAAAAAAAAAATCACAATTTTTCTGTTTATTATTAATTATGACTCTCCAACCACATGCATAGAGACTAAGTGCACAGGAGCAATTCCTTGCCTCCAGCAATGAAACGTACAGCAAAGGGAGAAAAAAAAAAAAAGAAAAAAAAAAAAAAGGCATTAAAAAACTCACCTTTGAACTCAGTTTCAGACCAAGTGTACTGAGTGTAGAGTTTCCTGGCAATGATCCCCATGCAGCAAACAAACAGACCTGTTTACTGATTTGCAAGCACTCATATAGCAAATCACAATTCCTGGAATACATAAGAAAGCTGGAATTCAGCTCTAAACAACAGTTCCCAGAAAGTGAATTGCTACATTACTGGCTTTTCTTTCTTTTCTTTCTTTCTTTTCTTTCTTTCTTTCTTTCTTTCTTTCTTTCTTTCTTTCTTTCTTTCTTTCTTTCTTTCTTTCTTTCTTTCTTTCTTTCTTTCTTTCTTTCTTTCTTTCTTTCTTTCTTTCTTTCTTCCTTTCTTCCTTTCTTTCTTTCTTTCTTTCTTTCTTCTTTCTTCCTTTCTTCCTTTCTTCCTTTCTTCCTTCTCTTCCTTCCTTTCTTCCTTTCTTCTTCCTTTCTTCCTTCCTTTCTTTCCTTTCTTTCTTTCTTTCTTTCTTTCTTTCTTTCTTTCTTTCTTTCTTTCTTTCTTTCTTTCTTTCTTCTCTTTCTTTCTTCCTTTCTTTCCTTCTTTCTTTCTTTCTTTCTTTCTTTCTTTCTTTCTTCTTCCTTCCTTCCTTCCTTCCTTCCTTCCTTCCTTCCTTTCTTTCTTTCCTTTCCTTCCTTCCTTCCTTCCTTCCTTCCTTCCTTTCTTTCTTTCTTTCTTTCTTTCTTTCTTTCTTTCTTTCTTTCTTTCTTTCTTTCTTTCTTTCTTTCTTTCTTTCTTTCTTTCTTTCTTTCTTTCTTTCTTTCTTTCCTTCTTTTCTTTTCTTTTCTTTTCTTTTCTTTTCTTTTCTTTTCTTTTCTTTTCTTTTCTTTTCTTTTCTTTTCTTTTCTTTTCTTTTCTTTTCTTTTCTTTTCTTTTCTTTTCTTTTCTTAGCAAGTTCAGGCTATCAGATGAAATGGAACAAATCCTGGTATGTACTCCTTCTGCTGTTCTTTCTGATACATAGTAATAATAAACTCTGAAGGTAACTTTGGAAGTGTAAGAAATATTAGCAATTGTGTCCTTCCACTCCTAGTCATTTATATGAAAGCTTTGGGATTTTGTACAAATAATAACCAAAAGAACTCAAAGAGTTCACCACATAAGAACAAAATTCAGGAGAGCACAAGGATCAGCAAGTAGGTATTGACCAGACTGCCATTCAAAAGTACAGATGTATGACTGAATCTCATCTAATAGTGCATGTACATCTCTTCAAAGACACATCTTTAAAGTTAATTTTATCTGTAATTCTAGGTGAAAAAATAACAAGGTCCAAGAAAAAACATATCCTCCAGTGCAATGCCATCTTGTGGTAAATGGAGAAATGGTCTGCACCATTGGCTCCTATTTGTTCCACAGTGCACAAACCACACCCATAATTGTTGACTTGGGGGTGAAAAAAGGGAGACTTTATCACATTTAGAATTATAAGTGTATTCATCTTTATTTACAATCCTAGCATTTTCTCCAAAACACTGCCCTGCTATTATACTCAGAGTTATTTCCATCACTCCAGACATAATGTATCTATGGAGATGTGATTAACTTAGTAGAAACGTGTATCTTGTTTAAAAACTCCCATCATTTTCTTGGATACAAATAGATCCTCCCCCTTAGCTTGTTTTTAGGGCACAAGTCAGCTCAAAATGTCATGGCTATGCAATCTACATCAGTGTAAAAGGATCCTTCCATACCTCATTTATTTAAAAATAGCATGGCAACATCTCTGACTCAGCCGACCTTTGGGTGCATGCAGTATCACCTCACTTTTCACTATGCTTCACTAGGCACCTGCCAGGTGATCCCATCTTCCAATTGCTGCTCCCCTTCTTCCTTTGCCAAAAGCCCTGCCCTCAGGGCCAGTGTCGGTCCTAATGGGGCTTAAATATGGGACTTGAATTTTGGTTCTGCTGTTAGCACACACAGAACATGGCTTTGCCGCAGAGATGCGGATGCTTGAATGTTATGTTATGTTATGTTATGTTATGTTATGTTATGTTATGTTATGTTATGCTATGCTATGCTATGCTATGCTATGCTATGTTATGTTATGTTATGCTATGCTATGCTATGCTATGCTATGCTATGCTATGTTATGTTATGTTATGTATGTTATATTATGGAAATCTATGCTACAGAAAAAGATACATATATTACTAACATATCTGAGCATCTTAAATCTGCCTGGTGTTTACATGCACACACCAGCCACAGCAGCAGGGAGAGCTGCAAGACTGTTTGCTCACCCTGGATGCTGCATACTCAGTCACAGCCGTGGCCTTCTGTGATGGGCAACAACAGGGCAGCAACATCTGACTTTCATAGAATCACTCAATCATAGAATTGCTCAGGTTGGAAAAAAACTTAAAGATCGTCAAGTTCAACTGCAACCTAACCATAGTACTCTAACTCTAACAATCCTCCACTAAATCATGTCCCTGAGCACCACATCCAAATGGTTTTTAAACACATCCAGGGATGGTGACTCAACCGGGAAGCCTATTCCAGTGCTTAACCACCCTTTCTGCAAAGAAGGGTTGATATCCTGATATCCAACCTAAACCTCCCCTGGTGCAACTAGAGGCCATTTCCCCTCATCCTGTCACCAGTAAGAAGAAACCAACCCCACTCTTACTGTAAGCACCTTTCAGATATTGAAAGAGAGCAGTAAGGTCTCCCCTCAGCCTCCTTTTCCCCAGACTCAACAGCCTCAGTTCCTTCAGTCTCTCCCTGTAGGCCACATTCTCCAGGCCCTTCACCACCCTGTTGCCCTTTTTTGGACCTGCTCCAGCACCTCAGTATCCTTTCTGTACTGAGGTGCCCAAAACTGAACACAGTACTCGAGGTGAGGCCTCACCAGTGCTGAGTACAGGGGCAGGACGACTTCCCCAGTCCTGCTCCCCACACCATTCCTGATACAAGCCAGGATGCCGTTGGCCTTCTTGGCCACCTGGGCACACTGTTGGCTCTTATTCAGCTGACTGTCCATCAGTAAGTACATCAAGGTCCCTTTCCCTAAGGCACTCCTCCTGCCTGGGGTTTCAGCACCCCTCACACTAACCCTGTCTCATGCTGGGGCTAAATGCAATGCCTGTTTTGCAACCATTACACAACCGGGCGAGGGGTTACGGAAGCCCTCGGGGAACAGAAGGAGCAGCAGGGTGGCGAACAGCTCCCGGCAGTCACTGCAGGCCCGTAGGCGGGCAGGCCTACAGCTCCCGGCAGGCCGGGCGCCGCACGTAGTTCCGTCGCGCTGACTCGAAAGGGCCGCGCCGCGCTTCCTGCGCTCGGGCGGCCACACGCGGCCCGCCACCATGGCGGCCGTGCGCGTGGAGGAGGTGCTGGCGGCGGCGGCCCAAGAGCAGCAGCAGCCGCGGAGCCTGCAGGTGGAGAAGGAGCTGGAGCTGGAGTTCGACCTGGGCAACCTGCTGGCGCTGGACCCCAACCCACCGCCGGCCGCGGCGCTGCGCGGGGCCGGGCCGCGGCGGGAGTCGCAGCTGCGGGCGCTGGCCCGGGACAACGCGCAGCTGCTGGCGGCGCGGCTGTGGGAGCTGCCGGCCGAGCGGGCGGACGGGGCGGCGGGGCCGCTGGTGGCGCGGCTGCCCGAGCCCGCCTTCCGCCTGCCGCGGGAGAAGCCGCCGCCGCGCCCGAAGCCCCCCACGCGCTGGGAGCAGTTCGCCCGGCTGAAGGGCATCCGGCGCCGCAAGCGGACCTCGCTGGTGTGGGACGAGCAGGCCAAGGAGTGGCGGAGGCGCTGGGGGTACCGGCGGGCGGGCGGCGACCCCGGCCGCGCCTGGCTGGCGGAGGTGCCGGCGGGCGCCGACCCGGAGGAGGACCAGCTCGCCAAGCTGCGGCGCGCTAAGCGCGAGCGGGTGGCCCGTAACGAGCTCAACCGGCTGCGGAACCTGGCCCGGGCGCACCGCTCCGCCGCTGCCGCTCCGCTGCACCCCACGGGCCACCAGAGCCGCCAGGAGCTGGGCCTGGCCGCGCGCGTGGCCCGCGTCTCCACCGCCTCGCTCGGCCGCTTCCAGCCGCGGCTGCCCAAGGAGCCGGCCGAGCCGCCCTCCCGCGACGGCGGCAAGAAACGGCGCTTCGGGCCGCTGCTGGGTGACTTGGCTGCCGAGCGCGGGCGGCAGCTGGAGCTGCTGCGGGGCATGAGCGCCAAGAAGCCGGCTCTGGACATCACCCGCGCCGTCAATAAGCAGCTTCGCGAGGAGGACGCCGAGGCGGCCGCCGCCAAGGGCAAGAAGCGGGCGCAGCGTGGCAAGCGGGGCCGCCGGCAGCAGCAGCGGCCCGGGAAGAGGAGCGGCGGAGGCAAGAAGGGCGGCGCGGCCCGCAGGCAGCAGCGACCTGCCGGAGGTGGTGGGAGGAGGAAGAAGGCTTGAGGGACTGCCGGCCTGCGGGCCACCAAGGGATCGGCGCTGCAGGCACTGAGCGACTGCGTGCGAGGGGTGCGAAGGGACAGCTCTGCCGCTGTGCGGCACACACCTCTGTCAATAAACACCCTTTGGTCTTTGTAAAATGTCTTGTGCGTGGCTCCTGTGGGATGGCCGGGTGGCAGCTCCCATGCCCAGCAATGGGGAGAACAGGGCTCGGCAGCAGGGTGCAGCCTGAGCTGTCCATGTTGTCAGACTGATAGCAGATGTAGTTGAAGTGGGCCAAGCGTTGGGTTCTGCATTTTAGTTGCAACAACCCCAGGCAGCCCTACAGGCTTAGGGAGGAGTGGCTGGAAAGCTGCCTGAGGGAAAGGGACCTTGGTGTACTTGATGGCTGAATATAAGCCAGCAGTGTGACCAGGTGGCCAAGAAGGCCAGCGGCATCCTGGCTTGTATCCGGAATGGTGTGGTATTCAGGACTGGGGATGTCATCCTGCCCCTGTACTCAGCACTGGTGAGGCCTCACCTCGAGTACTGTGTTCAGTTTTGGGCGCCTCAGTACAGAAAGGATACTGAGGTGCTGGAGCAGGTCCAAAAAAGGGCAACAAGGTGGTGAAGGGCCTGGAGAATGTGGCCTACGGGGAGAGACTGAAGGAACTGAGGCTGTTGAGTCTGGGGAAAAGGAGGCTGAGGGGAGACCTTATTGTTCTCTTCCAATATCTGAAAGGTGCTTACAGTGAGAGTGGGGTTGGTTTCTTCTCACCGGTGACAGGTGACAGGATGAGGGGAAATGGCCTCGAGTCACACCCGAGTCGAGGGGAGGTTTAGGTTGGGTATCCGGAAACACTTATTTACAGAAAGGTGGTTAAGCACTGGAATAGGCTTCCCGGTTGAGTCACCATCCCTGGATGTGTTTAAAAACCATTTGGATATGGCGCTCAGGGACGCGATTTAGCGCGTTGTTAGGGTAGCACGGTTAGGTTGCGGCTGTACTTGACCATCTTTAAGGTCTTTTCCAACCTGAGCGATTCAAAACAAGAGCTCTCAGTACATTACTACTGCTGAGCGGTGAGCGCTGCAGCCAAACGCCCCGGCGTCCCGCCCAGCGGCGCCACACGGTTGGTCCCGGCGCGGCCGTCCCAGCAGTCCCCGCAGCGCGATGGCGGCAGGGCGGGACAGGGCTGTGCGCCTCCTGCGGCAGCTGCAGCGGGCGGCGTGAGTGCGGCCGGGCCGGGGGCCGAGGGGACGGGCGGGGAGCAGCAGGGGGCGGCATGCACCGTGCGTTCGGACGGGGTGGCCGAATACCTGCAAGAGGCTCTGAGGAATTTGCGGGTTTTCTGCTTTAGTTATACCTTTTAAATGTCACTTTTGGTTTTGTGTTTTTTGTTTGGTTGTTGTTGTTGTTTTTTCTTTCCTGCTATCTAGATGTCGGTGCCCGACTCACAGCCACACTTATTCCCAAGGTATGGTTTAAATTGTGTGTCTGAAATAATTCTGCATGAGACCGTGGCCATTAGTTACACATACTGCCTGTGTAGAGGGTGCATGTAACAGGTAGAAAAGAGAGCAGTGAGAGCATAAGGTGAGCAGCCTCTTATTTTGCAGCTGTACAATAAAAAAGATTTTTGTTGGAGAGATCCCGTGTCTCCATGTAAGCTGCAGCCAGGGTCTCCTGTCCTCTTTCCCCCTGCTAAAAGGCTGCACAGAAGCTGGCTGCTGCTGGGCATAGAGTCATACAGTCACAGCGTGTCCTGAGTTGGAGAGGACCTACACAGATCACTGAGTCCAACTCCTGACTACACAGAGCCACATAAAAATCAAGCCCTCAGTCTGAGAGTGCTGTCCAAATGCTCTTTGAACTCTGGCAGCTTGGGGCCATGCCCAGTGCCCTGGGCAGCTCATTCCATGCCCACCGCCCTGTGGCGCAGACCCTTTCCCTAACAGCAGCTGCCCCTCCCCTCACGCAGCTCCATGCCGTTCCCTCGAGCCCTGTCGCTGTCACAGAGCAGAGCTCAGCGCTGCCCTCTGTTCCCTGAGGAGCTGCAGCTGCCATCAGGCCTCCCCTCAGCTCCTCTGCTCTGCGCTGGGCAAACCAAGGCACTTCAGGTGATCCTCATATATCTTGCCTTCCAGACGCTTCCGCATCTTTGTAGCTCTCCTGTGGACTCTCTCTAATAGTTGTCTGCCATGTGTACTAGACTCAGAACAGTTTATTACATTTTTGTTTATTACTTCTTTTCCATTTGTCATGGCATAAGTTGGGCTTTCCATTCCCAACCCTCCCTTCTCTTGCCTGAACAACTCCTGCATATCTTCTTTGATCACACAACATGCTGTTCGGAGCTCTTCTCTCCCTTACTGCATTTCTCTGAAGCTTCTCATGCTGGACCACCTCCTTTGGCAAGTACAGTATCTACAGCTGGACAGTAGTTCTGCTGTCACCTGAGCCATCTCATCTTCACAACTGCATCTGAGCGGGAAAATGTGTGTCTGTTATGCTTTAAAAAGAATCAAATGAAGTGAGTAAAAAGGAGCTATTCACAAAAGTGTGCTTTAATGTGGGGATTGCCATCTCAGGCTTTTTATGCAGTCGGTCCAGAGGAGGTGAGTCACTTAGATCAGGCTTAAGGAACACGAGCAGGAGAAGCCACACTGGTGATGGAAGTGCCTTTGCAGGAGCTTCTGTTCTGGGAGTCCAGGATAATAACCATGTGCTGTTTAATTTCCATATGTTCTCATTCCCCACATTTCACTCTTTATACTCTAAGAGTACAATACAAGATACAATAGATATAATTTTTGTAAGAATTGATATTTGGGGCTGTAATTTCAGTAATGAGTGGTTCTGAGTGGCTTTGTTTCTTGTGCTTTATTGAAGACACTTTTTAAAGAATGATCATTGCCATTTTACATGTGGAAAAGCTAATATACGTTCAAGTCATTATTTTGCCCAAGCAAGCAAGACAAAAGCACAGCTGAGAAATACAATCTCATTTTTTTCTGCTTGATTACTTCCTCAGTCAGTTCAAACTAAACCTTTGTAACTAGAAATCTTAATTAAGAATGCTCTCCAAGTTTTAGGCAGAAATTGATTGTTCAAAGTAGCAACAGGATATCAGTTCCATATGTTTGTAAGTAACAGGAATTGGCTTAACAGTGACTAGCAAATATATATATATATATATATATATTGTTCATTGTGATTGTTGGCAGTGTTGAGGGAAATGCTGCAGTTTTTGAACTCACCAAAATTCTTCCTGTAAGTTAGGTTTTGCACAGGAGAATAACAGCAGGTCACCTATTATAACATCAGGAAGCAAGTGAGTAAATCTCTTGGACAAGTTAAGTTAATGACTGGGAGTGCAGCACATCCATGCTTCAGGAGAGGTCAAACATGTACAGCCTGGCAAGAGATGGCAATGAAAGAGCGGACAGCAGCTGGCCTGGGCTTGAATAGAATGCACATAAAGGACTTTAATACATCTATCTGTTACTGTTGTGGGTCAGTGCTTCAGAGCACCCTGGAGTGTCTGTAAGACTCATTATGGCTTCACTCATTGGATCTGAATCCAAATCACATTTTTTTCAATTAATTAAGGCATGACTTCAGCTGGAAGAGTAGAATGCCTCATCTGATCCTTTCTTGAAGAAGAATGGACTGTTTCAGTTGATGTGGTTTGTTTCACTTTGTGACAGCGTCAGGATATGCAAAAGAGAATTTTGTGAAAGTTCATGTGGGAATGATACAGCGAAGAGAAGATATTATTGAAATACTGTCCTTACACATACATTTTTTGTACTAAATGATGTTGGTAGTAACATCGATTCATATAAAAGCTCTATCTATTATTAGCTATGCATGCAGTTTCTTAATTTTCAAGCGAGCAGTTAAGTGTCACCTATAAGTTCAGAACCAGTTGGAAGTAAAAAGAAGTATAAACACCTATCATAACAGTTTCCACACGTGCAAAAGGCACTTTCAATTCAGAGGTGTATGGAGGATGTCTCTTGTTTTTGTCATGCAAGTTGTTTTGAAAGTTAGCACATAGGCCCTGCACATTTGTAACAACTCTGAAACAGTATGGAGCATTCTGTATGCCCTGCAGATACTCAGCTGCTTGTATTTATCAAATATGCATAAATATTCATACATATTACAAGTTCTTGTGCAAATTTCCTGCTAACTTACTCAGGTTGTATAGGAAAGAAATCTTAAGGAATGAAAAACTATTTTGAATCATATGAATCAAAAGAACTCAAATGATTCTATGATTCTAAGTACTAAGATCATTTAACCACTCCAACAGCTGAGCACAAAATGGGTGTTACCCAGAGAAGCAAAGATGACCTGTGCCAATGTTTTGGTGATTTTAAAATGAAAGAAATCTATCTTTTTAGTATTGCTGTAGAGACTGAGGCCACTATCTGTTCCTTAATTTTAATGTTTAATTTTCATTTCAGTTCCTGAACGGGCTACCCTGAGAAATACAGACTATGCATTTGAGGTAGATTTAATAATAAAGTAAATTTGATTTTAAAATAATATGCTTTTTACTATCAAGTATGGCATTTAACAAGTGCTTACATTAGTAAATATTCAAATTTCATCTTGATTGCTTGGGGCTTGATGACATATCTTCACTTTTTCTCAGAAAAATTACGTTCTTTATTTTGCAGATGGCCATTTCAAACATCCGATATGGAGAAGGAGTCACTAAAGAGATTGGCATGGTAAGCATTGTTAATGCAAATCCATCACTGGGGAAGAGTTATTTTCCAAAAGGCTGCTGGTGCTGACAGTCCATTTAATATGTGAAAGCTCATATATTGTGTATCTGAACCTCCACTGTATGCCCATATATGTAAGTATCTGCAACTCCTCTCTTCTTTAGCTATTATTGTTTCAAAAGTCTTACAAGAAGCAACTGCTTCTCAAGGTTTCACTAAATGATTCAGCTGTTTCGGTGTAGAATTTAAATAGGTCAGTGTGTGATTCCACACCAACTGTTTGTTTTAATTTCATTGTTATTGTAGGACCTGCAGAATCTGGGGGCTAAAAGAGTTTGTTTGATGACAGATAGAAACCTCTCCCAACTCCCTCCTGTAGATGCAGTGTTGAATTCCTTGACAACATCTGGTATAAACT